TTGATGTGCATCATCTGCATCATCGACGATTTTGAGCATACTTTGGCAACGAGAGCGCTGGGTGTTCATTGTCGTTCTAGGCTCCATCCTGCTGCCACGCAACAATTGTCAAGATCAGACACTGAACGCAATGAGTCTCCTGCTGCGACGAAGGCTGCTCATGTCGGCTCTGAACGCTGCCAGCTTCCTGAGTTCCAGCCTCGGGGCTTGGCTCACCCACATTCTCGAGGTCACGGACTCTGTGTGGAGCCCAGATGCAGCGCAGGTTCCATCAAGAACTGTGGGTGCGTTATGTTCCAGGCGATCAGGTCATTAGCAACACGAAAACCACGACGCCCGACGACGTTCACTGCTACTGTAGGATTGTGGAGTATTGCCTCTTCTGGCATCATCAGCATCATTACCATGTGGCTGTAACAAGATCCGTTACGACCACGAACACGGCATTGGCAAGTTCTGATGCAAAGGCAGGAGGTCGAAGAGCTGCAGCTGCTGCTGCTCCTGCTGCTTCTGCTGCTTCCAAAGCTATTCCCGCTGCCAGGACTAGGATCGCAGATGATTACATTCCTTGCCAACGCTATCCAGTGTCCCTTGGTGGATGCAGCCAGCATGATCAGGATTTCACCAACTACGCCTTTCTGCTCCTCATTTGCAATCTCAGCGGCCTCCTGCCACTGGTGCCTCCTCCGCAATGATGATTCCGTGGGGACATATGGCGGCTCGGATACTGAATGACAGCCAAAATAATGTTTGGAAGCGGTCATCGGCGGAGTGCATACCATTAGTTGGCCATTTCCAGTGCCTCGTTCCATCAATTTGCAGCACGGATTGTCGCAGTCCTCAAGATGTTCGTCGTCAACCGTGCAGACTCGAACTCTCGCAGGCACTATTACCTGGAATTCAGAACCGGCCTAGTCCGGCACTTGGTTTCGAAGTTGCAGCTCAACATTCCCAGCACTTCAATACATCGTTTGCCGTTGGTGCGCATCGTTGTGCGTCATGCAGGCTCAAATAACAAATGATGCCAGAGCGCAGCATGCTTGCATTTCCGGCAAGCAAACGGTGTGGGCCCTACTTATTGCTGTCTCGACTCAGTCAGCTAGAGATTATGGGGTTCTAGCAAGGCTTCTGCGTCTCTCAAGCTCTAGTCCTCGCATTTCTTCCCGCAGCGCGCTGCAGGAGGTTGTCCAGTTGATGCAGCGAAGCGGAGCAGGGGTTAGGTCCGTCTGCTTCCGTTGATGCTGCATGGCAATTTTCCGGGCTGCAGCCCAGGCTTGCCCGATGGAGCTTGCAATGCAAACCCTCATGAGAGTGTGGAAGTCTTCGGCTCTTGTGTACTCATCAGAGAAGCAGCTGGGAAGATCAGGATACCCTGCTCTCAAACTGTGACATGGAGGATTGAACCTCTCCAAAGTTGCTCGCTCCGGTATTGCTTAGCATGAGAAGGCGCCCTAGCTTCATGCGACGCATTTTCAGGACCGCTGTGGCCCTCCCGTGTTTGCATCGACAAAGGAGTGCTGAGAAGCCAACACTGATCGATCGCAACAACAAGTTAGATCGGCAGACTTACCTGCACTCCTTCAATCCGTCCATTTTTGAAAGCTTCTTGCAGCTTCGGCTGTTGCTGTGAGCACTTGTCAGTGTCTAGCAGCCCTTTCCAGCTCTTGCTGCAGTTTTACCGGCACTGCTGCACACGGCCCAGTGCCAGACCCATTTTTTCTTTGATGGCTGTTTGTGGAGACAGATAGATCATCTCCATTCTCCATGTGTGCCGGTTCTTGCGATGTTTTCGTGTCATAAGGCTCCTGAACTCCACTTGGACTGAGAAGCCACACTCGAGGGCGTTAATACAGAATCTTAATCATTAAAATAGGTTTTGGGGGCCATTGCACTATAGTGGAAATAAGGAACCTCCAAAATAGTATAGGTAACTATTAAGGCCCCTATGTTACCGGTCTTAGGCTCAAGGCCGGACACACTTGGAGGCAGAACAGGACAAAGTTCCAAAGCTGAACAATAGCAGCTCCTGCTTTGCGCTGGGTACCTGACAAGTCTAGAGTGTGTGTTGTTGTCTTTCGATTGTCATCCGGCGCAAGGAGGTGCACCAGTTATTTTCATTTTAGGTAGCGGTAGAGCTAGCGAATTCAGCGGTTGGTTATGATCGCCGTCATCATGTGATTTTCGCGTGAAGGATCCTAGACACGCACGCAGGAGGCCAAAAAGCCCTGATACTTGAACATCAGACAAATCTTGGTTTGATGGTTTCAATATGGGCTAGCAACATCAACGACATATACAAACCTAGGCTAGGGGGGCCAGCGCTGCTTGATTCATACGAATCCCAACAATACGACGATGATGAAAATGAAGATGAAGACATATTTTCTTTATGGAACCATTAGGAAAAGAATTTCGAATTAATATCAAAAGAATATGAAAAAATCTAGCAACAATCAAATGAGAAATTTTGGTTGGTTAGATAAAAAATACGAAATTATAATTTCAATAATTCTGTACTAATTAATAAGGTGATTCATTAGTATAGATTAAAATAGATATAGGTAGAAATTTATTTATTTTATGTCATTTTGATATACTTTATATTATAAACCATATATTTGAAACTATAAAAATTATCTAAACAACTAATCTTCTTTTGTGATAGTATATAGAAATTCAAGATCTTTGGTAATTATTGAACGAAAAATCAAAGGATCGAGAACTCTATATGAATATATCTATAGATATGTCTATGTATTGAGTTTGGTAGGCTTGGGTATGTATGTATCATTTCTAAGGAACCTTGTACCTGATTGCAATTTTTGGCTTAAGCTTCAGCTAGAGCCAAACCTGGCAAGCTGGTACTTCCTTTTTCTGTGGAGAGTGACTCCATAGGAATGGATATGGCTCCCCGTGTCGGTCGCATCACTTATACCGAGTCGAGGGTCCTGCATGCTGAGAAGATGTCGGCCTTTGTTAGGTATATGGGGGAGTTCAGCAGGAACAATGACTCCGAGGCATTTTGGCACGTTTGGAACTAGGTCTGTGAAGTCGTGCACTTCCCTGCTCCCTTGGACATTGTCCCGAGTCTCAGGATCGACGGCAGGTTCGTGCCCTTTCGCCGCATCGCTTGTGTCGCTTCCCCATGTCCAAGGTGTGATGAGGCCTGTGGCGGGTTCCAGTTCCCTTGGTTGGGACGGGCTGTCAGGGCTATTGTGGTTCCAGATGGCTGGCATCCCGACGATGCTCGCACCAGGTTCTATCAGTGCGATGTCATGTTCACTGATGAAGAACTCACGCGGCATGGTTCGGTCATCACCATGCGTGATATGCTCACTGCCACGATGGCACGGGTTCTTTACATGGCGGAAATTAACCCACTGTATGATCTGCCGGGGGCTTCCCTGTCCTCGGTTTTGGACACTTGGAGGCAGTGGCAAAGAGGCCAGCGGGTCTGGCGCGACCCTTCGGTTGGGACAGGTGAGGTACCCAGCGCGATGGAGGCTCTCTTGGACCCCGATGTCCGTCATCGCGCACTTTATCTTCTGGTTCTTTCAGGCAGGCAACCCGGAACACGACCCTGGCTGCCTTCGGGTTATGTGCTTGCACTGTGGTAACCCCTTGCCCGGACGCACACGGTGGCAGACTACTCAGTGTAGGCAGTGTCGCCGCCTCTCGGCCAGGATTGGTGGGGCAGCCGCTGGGGACGTGGTGTCGGGGTCTTCTTCTTCCAGTTGAAGGGTGTTGGGCAGGGGAGTCGGCGGCTGGGCGTGTGACGCTTGGCTGTCGTCTCGTGGCTCCCGGCCAGGTGGCAGCTCCTTCTTCTTGGCCGCGGGACAGCCGTCGTTGGGGTATGCCAGACGCCGGGCCTGAGGGACAGGCCTTAGGTGCGACCCCGAGGGATGGGCGAGGTACGCCCAACCTTGGGGGCGAGTGCTGGCCGCTCCCTGGTGACCATTATAAGCAGACTGAGTCTGAGCAGCAGGCGTTACCCTTGCATTATGAGCTCATTTCGGCTGCCAGGTCATGGTGTCGGCCACCTTCTCGTCGTGGCTCGCTTTGCGAGGTCGACTCTTCCTTCAGGACTGGGGGGCCCCGTGACAGATGCAGGTTTCTTGCTTCGGAGCGCTGGGATTCAAGGTGTTCCGGTTCCTCCTTTAGATTTGGGCTCCAGATTTGGGCAGTGGGGCTCGCCTTGGTAATCATACCCGGGAACCTGGGCGTCTATGCGACCGAATCGCTTTCAGCGGCCTCGGCGCCAGAGAGCGCATACACGGCCATGGGGGAGATGTCTCGGCAGCGTGCCGGGCAGTGGCGGGAGCAGCACGGGCTCCTCAGCGATAGCGACTTTGCCTTCAGTTTCCAGAGCTACGAGGAGGCTATGGCTCAGGCTGGGACCTTGGTTGCCGAAGAGTGGGCCGCGGTACGGGCCACTTCGTCTTCGGGGCTCTATGGGGCTGTCGCTTCTGCCTTGGAATCTGCGACCCCCGACCCGAAGCCGGCCGTGCGACGGCCTTCTTCGTTCCGGCTGCGTGTGGCAGCAAAGGGTAGAGTGGTCAGAAAGCAGCCGGCCGCTCCGAAGGAGGAGGCTAAGCCATCTGATGACCACGTGGAAGCCTTGACGGAAGCTCTTTACTGCCTCGGCTCCATGCGCCCGCGGGGCGATCTGACCGTTGGTCTGGAACGCGAATGGCGTGCGGCCCTTCAGCGGAAAGCAGAGGCAAAGGCCCGCGAGGCGGAGGCTGCTACCGTGCGAGGGGCCCTCCTCACCTTTTCTGAGCTCCAGATTCACATGACGGATCGTGGTCGCGCCTTTCCACCGGATGGGGTGGATCTGGATGCATTCTTGTATGGGGGCACGGCGGCGCAATCCCGTGCACTGGCTGGGCTGCGATGGTTGGTGAAGGCCGGCCAGCTGGAGCATGCATGACCTCTCTGCCTATGACTTCCGAGGGCAGCCCAATAGGGAACCGAAGCAAGCGGCAGTGGCCGAGCCGCCCATGCTGGAGCAGCTGGAGACCAGGATTGAGCAGCTCTACAACAGCAACAACCCTCAGTGGCGGGCCTTACTTGGGTTGTGGGCGTGCTGCTTTGGGGTGCTCCGCCTCACACACGTGGCTCGGTCTTCCCCGAGACGGCTATCGAGGTCCACCTTCCACTTCCACTGCTCCAAGGGCAAGCAGAGAGGGAACAGGAATGGCTTCGACTACGCGGTCCCGAGCTACTTCATGTCTGGGTGGGATTGGTCGACCCGCTGGCTGGAGGATTGGCGCGCCCTACCTGTGCTATCCCGTCAGAATGCGGGCATCAATTTCAACGAGTTTGGCCGGCCCTACTCCACCCCCCAGACAGTCAAGCTGGCTCAGGATTTGTACACCCCCTTGCTTGCTGCAGGTGCCGCCCAGGTCAGCACGTACAGCTTCAGGAGAGTGGGCCCTTCTTTCGCTACGTTGGCTGGCTGGTCCCCCCAGCAGCAGTTGTCGCTGGGGGACTGGCAGGATGCTACACGCCTGCGCCAGGAGGGCAATTCCATGCCCCTTCGGTACGCCAGCACTCGTTACACGGCGTCAGTGCGACGCAAGCATTGCCTCATCAACGCTGTTGCTAGCTTGGTGCGCTTTACTTCCTGGGATGAGGTTACTCAGGAGGCCTTGGAGGCCGCCGAGCGGGACGGTGCCCTGGGTATGGACAGAGCCGTTCAGAAGGACAACCACACGGTCCAGCTCTCCCCTGAAGAGATCCAGCCACGGTTTCGACTGCCAGCTGCGGTGCCGGTGCCTGCGGCAGCTGCAGCAATGATGCCGCGGCAGATTGGGGGCAAGCGGCTCCCGGCTACCTTGCGGGATGGAGTGCAGCTATGTGCTGCTTTTCAGGCAGGCCATTGCCGGCATCAGGGCGATGAGTGCTCTGGCGGCCGACACCGCTGCGCCATTCTTCTGCAGTCGGGGAGGGTGTGCGGCGGAACCCACGGTGCTGAGGTCTGCCGGGTGAAGCGCTTTGTGAAGGCTCCCGAATCTCCGCCGAGGACGGGGATACGTGCCAAGGCCGGCGCTGTGGTCTTGAAGCCCAAGGCGAAGACGATCCAGGTCAAGGTCATGCCAAAGAGCCGGGGCGCTTTGGCTGGCTCTGGGAGCTCGTCCTCGGATCTCCCTCCTTTGAAGAGGCAGCGCGTTGCGCAGGAGCCGGCTCACCCGCCACCGAGATCTTCTGCTTCCGCGTCCGCCCGTGGTTCGGGCATCCCTGAGCCAGCTATGCCGCCTCGCAGTCGGCCGGTGCAGCCTTCGATCCCCCTCCAAGGCGTGCTGCATCGAGCCCACCAAGAATCTCAGGACGGACTGGAGGGCGGAGGGACCGCCAGGATGATGCAGCTGAGAGTCGCGCGCTGGAGCGCCACTTCGATAGCATTGCCACCATCGGGGGGAAGCGCATTCAGCCCCCCACGAAGCTTTGGGAAAGTCGCGAGGGAGGGACCCTCTGGCTATCTGGCATGCCCACGGCCGAGACCTTGCATGCTTATCCGAGGTGTGACCTCCAGCTGTCTTGGCTGACCGAGTCCCTCACTTCCCGCGGCGGTGCGATCATTCCTGGAGCTTTGCAGATGCAGGTGGCAATCACGGACGCTCGGTCCAGGGACAGGCAATGGAAGGAGTGCTGGCCAGTCATTCGCCAGACTCTTGTGAGTGGAGGCTCCGTCTTGGGACATTGCGTTGCGGGGCACCGTGCTGCGACTGGTCAAGCGCTGCTTCTCGCCTTGCTCACCGACGTCCCCTTTGAACAGGCTCAGGCCACAGTGGGTCGCCTTCGGGAATGTCAAATTTATAAAGTGATGGACCAAGGCACCATTGCGCAATGGGTCCGTAACATGCGCCGTACGGCGGTGGTTGGAGTGCGCTGGCCGACGCCCACAGGATATATGTTTACTGACCGGTCTCAGGTCCACCTCGATTTAGGCAACGGCGTACCGCTATGTCGCCACCGCCAAGGACAAGAGGCAGGTCAACGCCTCCGGGATTGTACCAAGGTTCAAGACCTCCAAGAAGCTCAAGGCTATCAACGGGCCTTCTGTCGTGACTGCTTGCAGCGAGCATCGGCAGTATTCCACCCAAAGTGAGGTGATCACATGTGAGGGTGCAACGTCCGGAGGGACCGGACTTTGTGCGCGTGAATCTTTCCGCGTTTGGCCTTCTTGCCGGGGCCCTCAGAAATTGAGGCTCAGTGGCAAGCACAGAGCTTGTTATTAGGAGGGGTTCGACCCGCCCGGCCGTCGCCATAAAGGAAACAGAGGGTGTGTGCCAGTGAATGCAGAGTGCCTGCATTCTCCGAGGGCTTGCTGCAGCCTCTCATGTGCACATGTGCTTCTCTCTCTTCCTTAAGTCGGCTTCTGCTCTCCTCTCCGCGGCCCGCTCTCTTTCCCCTCTTCTCTTTTCTCTCCCTCCCGTCTCGGCAGGATATGGCGCAGTTTTCAGCCCGAGGAGAGCACAGACCTTAGCGACCAGGCGGAGTTACCGTCGGTTTCTCCAGCCATGGCTTCCTTTAGTCTTGTGCCGAGGGACGGTGCAGACTTTCGTGCGACTATGGAGTCATTGCAGTTAAATTTTGAGTTCTCCGATGATGTGCTCGAGGCGTTGGTCAAGCAGAAGATCAAGAATCTCGAAGAATTTCGCTACTTCTTCGAATCAGAAGGGGAGATAGGCCTCTGGGTCCAGAAGCTGTCTTTAGGAGACCAGCAGCCGCTGCAAACGGCCCGCCTGCGCCGTACTTGGGCGGCCGTCAAGGTCTTCTTCCCGCATGCCGACGCAGGCCGGGTCCGGATCTCAGAGGCGGATCTGGATGATCTTCTTGATGACAGTGCCTTGCGCGACATGAAGCAGCAGTTTTGGCGGCGTTACAAAACCAGGTTCCCTCCGGAACTGTATCCATCAGACGCCACGCTCTCGCGAGTGACGCGAGAGCTCAACAAAAGAATGTTGTGCGTGTTCAGCGTCTGGAAGGTCAAGAGTCTCCAGTTTCAGCTTCTGAGCACTAGCAAGAAGCGCAAACTTGGGGATAACTTGTACACCGAGGATCAAGACCAGGACGAGGTGATCCCTCGCGACTACGAGTCCTACCTTGACCGCTTGCAGATTCTCCTCACAGCATATGCGTTGGCTGGGGTCCAGCCCGTGGCGGGTTCTCCCCCCGCTAACGGGGAGAACACGGTGGGGTCCGATACCACGCAGTTCGTGCATGCACCCTTGGATGTGCTCATGGAGTACTTCCATCGAGCGAAAAGGTCGGTCTCGCAGGTGCAAGGGCCTAAGAAACTGTCCTGGCTTCAGCACAAGGACACCGAAGAGCGGGCAGTCTGGGTCTCCAAGTTCAGGGAGTCCACCAAGACGCTCGGTGCCGTGGTGCGCGAGGTGCTCGACCTGCGCGATGCGCACTGGATACCGGTGCAAGCGGGCTCCGCAAGCGAGGCCTTGTCCGCTTCCCCAGCGAAGCCTCCACAGGGAGGGGCCCCGCAGCCCCCCCCCAAGCCTTCTTCCTTCGCCTTGGGCAAGAGCGTCAACGGGAAGAAGGTGGCGCAGATGATGAAAGATGGCAAACGACTATGCCAGGATTATCAAGAGGGCCGTTGCGCGCGAGGCAAGCAATGCCCCGATCTGCATAGATGCGGCGTGGTTCTCAAGGGCGAGAGAGTCTGCGGATCTGCTAAGCATGGTGCTTCGCAGTGCAAGCAGAAGGTCAAGCCCTGAGGGTGCCCAGGGGAGGGGGAGGCGACCCCCTCCCTGGGGTCAGAGGCTCCTACATCGCCCAGATCAATCCCTGTCATGGCGGATCTCTTTTCCGGACCCAACGCACCGCTTTCTAAGGCTTTTCTCTTTTGCGGCTGGCAGTGCCTGCCGGTGGATCTCAAGCTCGATTCGTCCCATGACTTGGCTAACCCACTCAGGCAATCAAGCTTGGCAGCACAGCTCCAGCAGGTCGATTTCATAGTGGCAGCTTTCGACTGCTCCACCAAGAGCCGCGCGCGGGACATCCCGCGCTCCTTTGAGGATGGCAGGCCGGCACCTAGGCCGCTTCGATCTGCATCATGCCCAGAGGGACTGGGTGGGCTTAGCAAGTCTGAGCAGGAGCGAGTGGACAAAGACAACCGAGCATGTTCCTTTGTCCTCGATGCTATTCAGCAGGCGGCCGAGAAGGGCGTCGGGTCAGTGCGCGAGAATCCAGCCAACAGCTTGCATTGGCTTCTCCCCCAGGAGGTGCAGTCTTTCCAGTCGGGCTTGTGGCAAGACAAACACTATGATGCGTGTTGTTGGGGTGGAGCTCGCTACAAGCGCCAGCGATTTAGGCGCAATTTGCAAGAAATCGCAGACTGGCCGGCGATTCAATGCCACCATATCCATGGTAAAGGCGAGTGGGACCCTCAGTCCGTGGATGGCAAGCACTGGTTCCCGTCGCAGGAGGAAGCGGAATTCACAGCCCCGCTTGCGTTTGCGATTGCAGTGTCAGCCTCGTGGTGGGCTGCCAGAGTGGGCCGCGCTAAGCTGGCTGTCCCAAGGATGCCGGTCCCGGGCTGTGTTGGTCGGCGGGAAGCGTGGACTAGCTTCGATCCGCGAGCACTGCGGGCCTGGGCGATGGCACCTTTGGCTATCTCCCTTGGCTTGACCCCGCCCTGCGAGGAGGAAGCGAATCGAATCCCACAACGCAGGGCAGTGGCAGAGATCCAGCGTGAGGACGTTTGCTACCACCAGGGGCCATCTACATTGGCCAAGGCCACCATTCACACCGCCTGCCACGCACCAAATGGGCAGCCCCCATGGTGGCGGGCCACGACTGTTCGTTTGACGAGTTCCTGCCTCGTTACGTGCAGCACATCAAGGACAACTTGGGAGACCAGCTCCCAGAACTCTTTGGGAAGACCTTGGTGGTGGATGAGATCACCGCCTGGCCGTCGGAAGGTGATGCCCTTGCCGGGCTCGTCTTTGAGGAGCTGTCGGACAGGAACAGGGAAGCCAAGCCATTGCAACGGAGGCCGCCGAATAAGAAGCGCAGGAGTAGCCAGATTGGTCGTCCACTCCGTGCGCTCGGGTTGGCAGTGGCTCCGTTGGCGGATGCATCCCAAATTTTCTCCTGTTACTTGCGGCAAGAAGATGTCTTTGGGGCAGTCTGCAAGCTTTTTCCGGCAGAATGGTTGGAAGGAGTTACCTTCCCGTTCCTTGAAGACTTGATCAACGCTCCACCGTTTGATTTGTTCACAAGGTGGCTGCGAGACTCGGGAGCTGATTGGACAGGGCCTTGCGGGCCTACTTTGGCTCCCCAGTCGGCCCGTATCTTCCAGCGTGCTGCGGGACAGCAGGCGGGAGCTCTAAGCCAGAGGGCAGCCTTGCCTCCTCTTCTGTCCTTTGGATTATCAGAAGAGGACCACTTCTGCCACTCTCTTGCGCGCCTTCACGAACCAGTCCCTACGGAGCGCGAGCCTATCTTGGACCCCGACCTCCGCTTCGCCGCCGACTTCACAGCAGCCAATCGAACAAGCTTGCGATCCCTGCGCCAGAATGCGATCGGTGCAGTACGTGAGCTCAAGCGCAGGTGGGCCCCAGTCGATGTCGCCCTGCGGCGTTTCCAGGCCCCCTCCCTACGCCGTGTGACGGCTGCTCGGGACATTGGGCTAGTGGCGCTACTCGTTGTGCTGTTCTCCTGGCCTGACACGGCTCTGCCATTTGCCCTGGTGGCGGGAATGCCAGCGGTGGGTTTCGCGCCGTGTTAAAGCGTCTTCCCACAGCTGCCCACTTCGCGCATCTCCTTTGACGAGGTGATGCGTGACTGGCGGGCCCACAATGCTCGTATGCTTTCCAGGATTGGACCGTCCAAGGACGACGTTTTCTTGTTGCAGCAATCCACCAAGGATCATGAGGCTGGATTTTGCTCCCCGCCTCTCACTAAGGCCGCGCTGTTGCGTCGACTCAAGGGGCGCCCGTACCGCCTCATCCCACGCTGCGTAATTACTCAGTCCTCTGGTAAACAGCGCATCATTGACAACGCGGACGCGGGTGGCCAATCTGAGATGTCCCATGACTCCAACAAGCTTGTCCTTTGTAGTGCCTTGCGCCCGGGTCAGCACGCGTAGGCCATTGTGGCTCGAGTTCCCCCGGAAGACCTCGAGGAGGCCAAAGAGAGTGACTCTTTGGAATCTGGGGGGGAGGACTGGCCTGATGCTTATCGGCATTGCCCAATGAGCGAAGAGGAGTCCCTGGCTTGCTTGGTGGTATGGTGGCACCACGAATGGCAAGCACCCGCCTATCAGATCTATGCCGGGCTTCTATTTGGGCTCCCGCTGGCAGTTACATCTTTCAATCGCTATAGTCGTTTCTCCGAAGCAGCCTCTCGGAGGCTGGCCCTTACAGTGGCTTCCTCCTACTTCGACGATTTCAACCTGCTCGATTGGGCATCGTCCAAAGGCTCGGGCCAGTGGGCCGTTGGGTCAATCAACACCCTGTTAGGGACGCCGTTCGCTGCAGAAAAGCGGCAGCCTATGTCGGCACATGGCACGTTCCTGGGGCTGGATCATGACTTATCCGAGGCCCTTTCCCAAGGCTTCGTCACCTTTTGGGCGAGAGAGCGCCTATTCGACAAGATGGCTGACCTTATCGAGCAGGCTACCTCTTCCGGCTCCCTGCGAGCGGGCCTCGCCTCCAAGATGTTCGGCCTTATGAACTTCTTGGAGCAAGGGATGTATGGCCGGGTAGGTTGCGGGGGGCTGGCAGCCCTCTCAGAACGCCAAAACTCACGTGAGGTTGGGCTCACGGAAGAGATCCGTGCTTGCTTTCGCCTGATTTCGGCAATTCTCCGGCTCCGCCCTCAGCGCCAATTCTGGATCATGCGGCCGCGGATCCAACGCTTCATAGCTGCGAGTGACGCAACCGAAGAAGCACCTCTTTGTGGATCAGGCGGATTCCTGATCGTCTGGCAATACCCAAAGGGTCAGCTGCGCGAAGGGTTTGTCGTAGAGTCGCCAGCTAGCCTGTACCCCCTTTGGGGTCCAGGCGAGAAGAAAATTGCGCAACTGGAATTGAGCATGGTCCTCTATGCCCTGGTCTCTCGACCCAGCCAGTTCAGATCCAGGAGGGGTGTATGGTACATTGACAATACCGCGGCTCTCATGAGCCTCATACGTGGTCGATCAGACAACGCGGACCTCTCTCGCCTAGCCCAATTGATCCATCTTTGCCTTTTCCGCTTCAAGACATGGGTCTACTGGGAATGGGTTCCGTCCAAATCCAACTGGAGTGACTCCATTAGCCGTGAGGGCGCGGATGATGTGTGGCATCAGTCGTACCTGTTTTCCACCTTTCGTGCTCATTTCCCTCATGAGCTGTGGGCACTGCCGCTGGAGGCGGTAGTGGTGGTCCAGGAATTTCTCTAGTGTAGTGCATTGGGAGAGTGCTTTGGGAACGGTTGGGTCAGATTCGTACAGACAATTATACCGAATCTCGGCTAACGTTTCTGTGTGGGACCCGGGTGTTTCCCGGTTTTACCAATGCATTACCCTCTGTGTTCCAGAGGCTTACTAGCGAAACATTGGACTCTGCCATCCGCTCGCGTGAAAGAGGAAAACAGTGGAGCGCGATAGTCACCAGTACGGTCAACAGAAATGTGTCCATGCATTGAGTTTGGCAGGCTTGGGTGTGCATGTATCATTTCTGAGGAACCTTGTACCTGATTGGAATTTTTGGCTTAAGCTTCAGCTAGAGCCAAACCTGGCAAGCTGGTACTTCCTTTTTCTCCCACCCGCCCGCCCTGGGTTGCCGACCTCCGGTGGAGTCGTCTGTAACCTAGGTTTGTACCGTTCTCCTCTTTTAAGGTATAGGGGCAGTATGTGTGACATACGTCCGTTGCGGGAACGGTTGGGTCAGATTCGTACAGACAATTGTACCGAATCTCGGCTAACGTTTCTGTGTGGGACCCGGGTGTTTCCCGGTTTTACCAATGCATTACCCTCTGTGTTCCAGAGGCTTACTAGCGAAACATTGGACTCTGCCATCCGCTCGCGTGAAAGAGGAAAACAGTGGAGCGCGATAGTCACCAGTACGGTCAACAGAAATGTGTCCATGCATTGAGTTTGGCAGGCTTGGGTGTGCATGTATCATTTCTGAGGAACCTTGTACCTGATTGGAATTTTTGGCTTAAGCTTCAGCTAGAGCCAAACCTGGCAAGCTGGTACTTCCTTTTTCTCCCACCCGCCCGCCCTGGGTTGCCGACCTCCGGTGGAGTCGTCTGTAACCTAGGTTTGTACCGTTCTCCTCTTTTAAGGTATAGGGGCAGTATGTGTGACATACGTCCGTTGCGGGAACGGTTGGGTCAGATTCGTACAGACAATTGTACCGAATCTCGGCTAACGTTTCTGTGTGGGACCCGGGTGTTTCCCGGTTTTACCAATGCATTACCCTCTGTGTTCCAGAGGCTTACTAGCGAAACATTGGACTCTGCCATCCGCTCGCGTGAAAGAGGAAAACAGTGGAGCGCGATAGTCACCAGTACGGTCAACAGAAATGAATATGAATAAATGGATGAGCCTTCTAGAGTCTTCTAGAGGCGTGTGTGTGTGTGTGTGTGTGTGCATTGTTGTGTGTGTAGTGCGAGTGTTGTATGTTGCGTGATATGTCGTGTGTGTTATGTTTGCGTTGTGTATGTGCGCATCGTATGTATTAGGGGAATTGCGTAAGTTGTGTGAGTTGTATGAAGTGTGCGCTATATATGTATATATATGTATATATATGTATATATATGTATATATATGTATATATATGTATATATATATGTATGTATATATATATGTATATATATATATGTATATATATGTATATATATGTATATATATGTATGTATATATATATATGTATTGTGTGTATGTGTGTTGTATGTGTTGTCGGTATGTTGTGTATGAGTACAAATTAAACGTGTGCGTGTGTCTAAAGTTTGGAGTGAGAGTTGTAAGATACGTGGTGGATTGTATAAGTATATATATATAATAAAATTTCATAATCTTTAGACTTTTCTGGATTGAGAGAGGTAGTATTTCTTGAAAATTAATAAATCTAAATTTTCTTTTTTATTTTAAGAATTGGTTATATATTAAATCGTATAATTCTTTCTGTTTATTCAAATGCAAAGAAGCTAGGAATCTATATTACTAGCTTTTGCGTATATAATTATTAAATTTTTGCAAATTTCACGGCAATATCTCTAAGATATTTGATTGAAATTCATATCATACGGATTCATATATTTATGAAATCTAAAAATATCTTAGAAAAATGATGTCGATTATTCGATTCATTTATTCAGCAATAGAAAAATGATTTTTTGCTATCTGCTTCATTTGGAAATAAATTAGAAGCCTAATATCTTTCTCTCTCTCCTTCTCTCTATCTCTTTCTTATTTATATTTTTTTCTTTTATATTGTTTTATCTCTCTCTTTCTCTTTATTCTATTCCTTTCTCTATTGCCACAATAAAAAAGAATCTATTTTTCTTATATCTTTGGAATATTCGTTCTATCTCTATCTCTCTTTCTATCTCTCTCTATCATTCTTGAATCTCTTATTCTCTTTCTTTTTTTCTATTATATATTTCTCTCTCTTTCTAAGACTTCCTATTTTATAGAAAAAATTTGGAATGCTTGATTCGTAGTAACGATCGTCCCGGGATGCGATGATTGGATGACTTAGTATTTATTCATAATAGCGTATATCTCGAAATCGGTAATAAAATATATTATTTCATCTTGCCGTATTGGATCAAAACGAATTTTATTTTTCTTGCTTCCTTGTCGTATTCTATGACTAATACTCAGATAGTGAGTATTATCTCACGAGATTATTGCACGAAATAGCCGGTCCCTTAATTTTAATTAGATTTTTAATTAAATTTGAAATCTTTTTTTATTTTCTTGATTTCTAGATATTTAAAAGGGTCTGGAATTAGTTTGGGAATTTTTTTTTTTTTTGGTAATTTTTTTTTTTGTGGTTTGCTTGACCGGATCCCTGTGAAAGGTTC